TTACCTGGGATCTTATGAAAATGAAGATTCTGATTTAGTTCTTTTAGGGTGAGTCCTGTGATTCTACATGATGCCTATGCTGCTGGCCCAGGGAACATGCTCTAAATAGCTCTTTAAAGTGCCTAGAATACACTTTATCCAATAATTTACTTAAGAGTTACATTTATGCCTTTCAATTAACAAGCAAATCTACCACACAAAGAAGGGAAAAACATGAGTGACAACAAATTCAAATGTTTGAAGTACATTTTCAGTTTAAAAAATTCAGTATCACTTCATGTAGTCAAAATTATACAATGAAATAACTTACTGTGGTTGATAAAGGAAGAGATCGATAATATTATCACGACCTTTAGGGTGGTTGAAGAAAACAAACAGTGACCAGTGAATGAGCCATGTTCGCTGCTGAAGAGACTGGAGTGGAGAACTCACAGACTAAAGGATTAAAAAATGGATACACAGGAACTATTAACATATGAGAAACAGGAAAGAGAACATCATTGATTCTGAAATTGTAATTAAAAACTAGACCTTTGTAAAGCATGCACTAGTGTCATTTTGATCAAAGTCTGACCCCCTATACCTTCTCTCTGCATGATCCTGAACATTCTAAATTATTGTCCTGTTCTTAGAGACAGATTCAGTAACGTCCACTAAATCACTCTTACGGCAGTTATAAATTATAATCATTTCTGAAAGCCATTTAAAGGCAAGAGTTGAACTAAGCATTCCATAATAAGTGGTTTTATTAGACATTGACTGTGGATAAAAACTGTCTTCTGCATAGGACTTTCATTAACAAGTGGCACTAATAACATCATGTCATTTTCACTGGCATAAAAAAAAAGGGCACAGTAACTGTAACAGAAATGAAGACTCGAGTTCTTTTCTCTATGAGCCAAGAGAAATTTGACAGTTTCCTTCAGTCTTCAAGGAGATTCAGAGAAACTAATCAATCCACCAACACATTGTGATTTTTGTCAACAAAAAGGTCAACAAAAGCTAATCTGAAAATTTTAGTCCCCCCAAAGTACACTTTATTCCTCATAAGAAAGTATGAAGGATATATAGAAATTTCAGAGAAGCACTCGGAATAAGTGTAACTCACATTATTATCTATGGTCTCCTTTAACCTTGTGAGATCTTCCATGGCTGCATCCCAATTCTGCATTAAGATTTCAGATGCCAGTTTTCCCCACAGTGAACTTAAAGCATTTCTATCTGTTGCTGGAACCTGTTTAAGCAATTATAATTAATTATATTGTGAGTACTCGGGAGGAAAAACAATGAATATTTTATACCTCACACAGCCACCTAGCCTACTAAATAAAAGACCTATAGCTTTCTACCCAAACTCCACTCCTTACTGGATCACACCAGTTTAACTGTTTCAAATAACTTAATTTACTAAAAATACTCAGGTCTTTATTATTCGGACTAGATCAGAAAATAAAGGGTAACTTTTAAAACTAGGAAACAGCAACACCATTTCAGTATAACCCATTTCGGATAATTTATATACAACTTATCAGATTTAAGGGACCTAAAACTTTAGAAACCAAGTTAGATTCATAGGAAATTTGTCACTGAAATCACTGGAATGAAGATAGGGAACATCAAGACATGTGGGGCTCATTTACAGTGTAATGAGAAATTATGTACACAACAAAAAACAATTCTAAATTATGACACAAACGGAAGGGGTTATGGAGATGGAGAGGGGGAAAAAATCCAGGCCCATCGGTTGATAACAATAGTTATCAAAGAATTATGCAATAAGCGAAAGTTAATTTTCTCATATAATCCTACCAAAAACCCTATAAAGAAGATGGTATTTTTTATCTCCTTTTCAACAGAGGAAGTAATGCATAAAGAATGTAACTTGCCCAAAATTACACTTCTAATCATGAAAGATAAAAATTTTATACCATAGCCTTAGCCTACAAAAAAGGAGGACAGAAGGCCATCCCTACTTTTTCTCTCCACTGGTGAAAGAGGGTCACAAACTCAAAATGCTTATAAGGACTAGGCTAATAACAAACAAGAATAAAGCAGGACTCCCTAAGACAAGGCAATAGAAGTAGGTAAAATGACTCTGAACTGATTGTATGTGCTAAAAGAGCAGAAATAAGGGTAGTAGAGGGAGAATACATTTCTGCACCTCAAGATGAAATTTTGGGTGTAATTTTTCACCAAAGCACATAACAGAATAAATGCCAAGCATATATCATAATTACAAGTTAAATAAAATTGTATGTGCAGGACTAGAAATCCAACCACCAAGTACTCTGGCTCTACCACTTACTATTAATAGCTAAACAGTCTGTGCTTTAGCTTCCTTATCTGTAATATGGGGAGAGTAACGGAACCCACTTCAGTTGTGTAGTTTAAATGACATAATACATGTAGACATTATAACATCACCTGATAGTAAGAACTCAGTAAATCCGAGTTATTAAAATGACAATGAAAATGATGTCACAGATAGATAAAGATAGATCTATGTATTTATCTAAAGATGGATAGATAATCTAAACTTTGGGGACCATAAATAATACAGACTCAGCCTATACTGCGATTCTTCCTTTGATGGCCGTGATTAACTTAAATGTACTAAATAACATTGAGCAAACTCTAAGAACAGGCAAATAACAGAGACTTAATTTGTAAATTAAATTTCAAAATGTATCCATGAAACCACTGGTTCTAATTATTATCACAAAGTACATCCACAATACAACTTGTACGTGCATATTCATGACAACTTTATTTGTAATACACAATAACTAAAAGTAACCCAAATGTTCATCAATAGATGAATAAATAGATTATGGTATAGTTATAGAATAAATTACTACTGAGCAACAGAAAAAAAACAAACTTCTGATATACACAATAACATGAATGAATCTCAAAAACTTGCTAGTAAAAACAAGCCAGACAAAAACATACACACTATAATCATACCACCTGTATGAAATTCTAGAATAGGTAAAGCTAATCTATACGGACAGAAAGCAAGGAAATCAATGGAGACCCAGGACCAGGAGACCAGGAGAGGAATATGACTACAAAGTAGGCAAAAGGAGTCTTTCTGGGGTGATAGGAATATTCTTCACCTTAATTTGGTGGTAGCCACACAGGTATATGCATTTGTCAAAATTCACTGACATTAAAAAATTCATTTATAAAAATCCATAAAATCATTTTAATTATAAAGGATAAAATGTTTAACCCTTATAAAAGAAAGGACATCTGAGTATTAAAATATATCATGTCTAAGATGCTTTCAGTATTAAGATACATTATTATTTTATTTCCAAAACAAAAAACAACCTAGTCAAGATACATTTTGATGTTAAAATATGAAAAACCATGTCTGAAAGTCAACATTAAACAGACATCTTTTACACCAACATCACATCAGGGTACATCAGAGCCAAAACTTCAGTAAAGATCCTAAAGCTTCCAAAAGTCGTCATTACTCAAGGAAAAAGTGCTTTTAAATAAGAATAATATATACAAACAGTAGATATATTTTAAATCCACAGTGGAAAAAACAGCTACAAAAATATGATCACAAAGTCCTAGTACCTAAAATCATATTTATTTCAAATAAACAGCTGGGACTGGGCACAGTGGCTCACGCCTGTAATCCTAGCACTCTGGGAGGCAGAGACAGGCGGGTCATTAGAGCTCAGGAGTTCGAGACCAGACTTACCCAGAGGGAGACCCTGTCTCTACTATTTTTTAAAAAACAAACAAAGAAACAAACAAACAAAAAAACCAAATAGCTGCTGAATTGGGGGATGGGTTATATTTTGGAGTTAGATCAAAGGCCATAGTGAGGGCAGATTTAAAAAA